GTGGGGACTGATATCCTGGGGCTGTACACATACACACACACACGCGCGCGCGGCGTGTGATATGATACGCTGTTAGCACTGTCAACAGCTTTGGGTGTACGGCAAAGGTAAAGTTCAACCGAATTCGTTACGGTTGGTTCTTGGTTGGCGACTTGGCTGGCTGGTAACTGTCGAGTAACCACAACTATCTGTACGGAATACGGGTATTCACATTTGTAATAACAAATATACGTACGAACGCAGGACGACGTGCTGTACGAGACGCTGACGGTGTACGAAACCCTGCTGTACGCCGGGCTGCTGCGGCTGCCTCGGGCTATGCCCCGCGATGAGAAGCGACGTCGCGTGGATGGAGTCCTGGCAGGATTGGGTTTGAGCCGCAGTCGCGACACCATTATTGGGGGGTTCTTCCGGCGGGGTATTTCCGGTACGTGGACGGTTGGGGGTTAGTTGGGCTGGCGGTTGGTTGTTGGTAACAGGTCATGTGTGGGTCGAGTGCGGGAGTTATGTACGGGGGTGTTTTGTGTATTGGTGTGGTGGTGGATGTGGTGNGGGTGTGGTTGGGGAACTCCAACACCCCCTCTACCCCTAGGGGGTCTTCGCCATCACGTTCCTCCAGGCAGCCTTACCCCCTGCGTGCCGTACACACTTCCCCCTTTGACAGGGGGGAAAGCCTTTTCCTCTTTTCCTCTTTTCCTCTTCGCCGCCATCTGCTCTACACTTCACCATCACCAGGGTCTCCTTTGCTTTTCTCTTCTGCCTTTCTCTAAAAAGACGTTCCTTTCATTTCGGCGGCTAGGTAGTGTTCTCCAGCTTTTTCCCCTCCTGCCTTCTCTGGACTTTGGACTCGGCAGCTGTAGTAAGTAACTGGTAGTGAGTAGCTCGTCTCGCAGCCATACGAGCAATACGGCCACATCGCCGACAACACGACGACAACTCAGGTTCAACGTCATTACGGGTCAGTTGTAAACATTCCTGAAATGCAGCATTTGTCTTCTCCTGGTCATCTCCTGGACTAAATCCGTCTATCTCTGGTATCTCTGCGTTGCTTCATTCGTCTGTGTGTTTCGTCGTACCCCCCCCCTCCGCCCCGCACACTCAACCCCCTCCCCCCAGGGGGAGAGCGTAAGCGAGTCAGTGTGGGCCATGAGCTCCTCATCAACCCTGCCGTACTCATGTTGGACGAGCCAACAAGCGGACTGGACTCCACTACCGCCCTGCACCTGGTGCAATTGCTGCGGCAGGTACGGAAAAGTCGGCGGTTGACGGTTGGAGAAGCGGTTGCGGTTGACGTATTCTGTTAGTGGCTGTGAGGTTGTGGTCTCAGCAATCCAGGGCGGTTGAGGTGGTTGGCGGTTTGGCGGTTGAGGTGGTTCGGTGGATTGGATACGGGATGCGGTATATATGTCCATGGAAGTACTCTGCCAAGTTGCCGTACAAATGAATGAATTCCCGAATAGTCGTACAATTGTCGTACAGTGTTCAAACCAGTCCGGAAACCCGCTTTCCCCCCCAAATACACACACGGACACACGTCGTTCGAAGCGTCAACCGGGGGGGGAGGGGGGGGGGGGCTGATGCAGGAATACAATAGAAATTCCCTCTTCACAGCGATAAAGACGTCCTTTTAAGATCTTAAAGGCTTGATGATCACACGACCACTTCTCCTACCACCCCTCCCTCCACCTCTCGTCACCCTAACGAGCACGCAGTGTGTTTTGCATCACTTCCTCCTCCTTCCGCCCCATCCCCCCCACCACCACCCCCTTTCGCTGCTCACAACTCTCCCACCTCTCTGCCTTGCATGTGCCTTTGCCCGCTGCTCCTGCTGCCTGGCCAGGTGAGTCCAAAGGGTGGTTCGAGCTTCTTTGGTTTATCGCGTTGGCGTCGGTAGGCTAGCCGGAATAGTTTAGTTGGGTCGGTCGGGTCAGTCGCGCGTTCTAGTTTTTTTGGGGGGTTGGGAGGAGCACTTGCATACCGGCAGCCTTTCAGTATCAGCAATTCAGCCTTCTCTCCTGGCCAGCAACTTTACGCCACTTTTACGTCAGCACTATTTTACTCGCCGCCTTCACTACTATTTTTACACCTACTACTTTACGGATTGGCTATACTATTCAGCTTTTTATTTCTGGCGGCTTAGGTAGGTAGGAGTTCCAACATCTACGTCACCTCGTCATCCCGAGGTTACAGTCGTCACAGTCGCCACGGACGCCTTTCGGTCAGTTTTTACGTTTGCTACTATCTTGCCCTGGCAGCAGCTTCAATCGCGTGTGGTTCGTCTTTCCCCCACCACCCCACCCCCCACCCCCCACCCCTTAGCTGGCGGCGGGCGGGCGCGCCATCATCACCACCATACACCAGCCCTCCTCCCGCCTATACCGCCAACTAGACCGCGTCATGCTGCTGGCAGAGGGACACATCATGTATTATGGAGATGCCAATTTGGTACGACGAATCGGGGTGCCGTACGTGGTGTCAATGTGGTACGACGATTCTGAGTGCCGTACTTCTCGTACGTATTGTGTATTGTTCTACGCGAGTGGATGGATCCCGCGGATGTTGTCTTTGGAGAGGACACACGCACGTACGGCAGAACTACCTGCTTTGTCGTACAGGCCCGGGTGAGGGGACCTGGGAGTGAGAAGAATGGGGTTTCAGATTGGAGGCGGTGGTTTGAGGATAGGCATGAGGAGGGAGATGTGGTCGCGGCCATGTCTTCCGCAGCCAGAACCCAGGGAGTCCTTTTGCCGTACGCGATTGCCGTACTCTTCTGCCATATAATACTCTTGTGGCGCAGGCTGCCGAGTGGTTCGGGTACTTCGGGTTTGGACTGCCGTACGGCGTATCGTTGGCGGATTTCATCCTGGACTGCGCCACGGGGGAAGTCGTCGCCCGCCAGGAGGCAGCGGACCAGGCGGCATCAGGTAATACGACAATACGGCAACAGGACACTAGTACGGCAGTACGGTATCTACCTGTTAACTACGCCCCGTACATGTGCACTGGCGCGTATTGTGATTTTGCTCCCGAGCGACTTAAAACGATGTCATTAAAGTAAACTAAAGTGCCGATTGTTGGATTTCAGATCAAAGAGTCCACTTCCTCGGCCGGGGCCCATCCGATGACATTCATACATACATACACACATATACACACACACGGCCGTGTTCTGTCCATCCCCCAACCCGCAGGGTTTTCCCGCCGCACCTCAACTTCCGCCCCGCCCGCCTTGGTGATTCCCCGTAACACGGACAGTGGCGGTGGCGGCGGTGCGGGTACGCAGGACCAGCGGGCAAGCAGCCCCCCAGCCAGCGCCGCCAAACCCGCCCAAACCCCCCTCCGCCACCGCCGCCGCGTCCGGGTCTGCGAGGGCCTTACGGGGCGAGCCGCGATGCTGTCCCTGTACAGCACCTTCGAGGCCTGGTACGTCCGTACATTGGGTTTTGGGTGGGTCCTAAAATGTCTTTTTCAAGGCTGGAGAGGGGACAGGGCTGCTGTGTATTGTGCCGTCGGTCGGTTAGTTGGTTGGTTGGTTGGTTTGACTCTGTTGACTGGTTTAGCTCTCTAACCCCCCGCGTCCCCCAGCCGCGTTCTTTGCTCTCCTAATTTCCCCACTTCTCTTATCCTCGTTCGTGGTTCGTCTTTCCCCCTCTTCCCCTTTTCCCCCCCCTCCCGATGTACGGCGTTACGGCAACACACACAGGTACTCGGAACACCCCGACGGCCTAACCGACCTCGCCCAGCTGGAGGGCGTGGAGTTTAGAATCAGGGGAGCGGATGGAAGCAGCAGGTACGGATGTGGGGGAGGTACGGCAGCGGCGGGAGCGCCAGCGGAGGAAGGTGGCGGCGGCGGTGGCGGCGGCGGTGGCAACTTCCTGAGCCCAATCTCGCGGTTCGGGGGAGGTGGTGGTAAGTATCGTACACTGGCGGTTGTTGTTAGTTAGTACATGCGCCCAACAGGCAGCTCCGGAAAACAAGACCCTATTGAAATTGTACGACGATGCAGGGCTTTCACCCGGCGGCCCCGAGGTACACCAGAAACCCTCAACTACCACAACTACCACAACTACCACAACTACCTCTCCAGAAGAGTTCATGGAACGAGGTGAGGGAAGGGGCCCACACTTGGCGGCGGTGGCGGCGGCGGCCCGTAAGGAAGGCAATGGTACGGCAGGCAGCGGCGGCGACAGGGGTGCTGACG